GCATTGGCTTAGGAAAACCGTCTACGCTTAAGATTAGTTTTACCCACTTTGAAACTTGCACAATCTATTGTCTAAACGGCTTTACTGGCAATACCGAGATAGGTCGCCAGGTGCAGGACTTAGCGTCTTGAACTCGCATTATGATGGTTGAAAACCCACGTCGGACGTTTGTTCTTATCGAAAAACGTGAGCAGAATATACAAGTTGTTGTCGGTCGCTTTTACGACTTAAAAAATTCACACGATATGACATTAAAAAAAAACCGCACTAAGCATTATTCGTCAAGTGGCACACATAACATTTATAATTAGACTAGTCGGCAGTTTTTGAAAATCCACTTAACGATTCCGATCGAGACCAAAGTCTAGAATAACAATAAAAAATTATGACGACTTAAAACTACACTGGCTATTTATGGTTTTAACTTTTATCACTACCTACTTATTTGATCGTATTTTACTTTACTTTGAAAACATGTTTACTAAAATTCTAAAAAAAAAATATTAGTTATGCGATAATGAAATAAATTTGAATTAGGTTAACAGTTTTTTTTTACATTAAAATAACCTAAATTAATCTAAATAATTAACTACCTATCTGACCTATCGACTATGTTTTCAAAAAAAAGTGAACGTTTTCCCCGTAATAGCTTTCCGTTTTTTTAAATTTAAGCTTTTTGAAGTCAACAAAAATTTAGTGGGTTACAGTTAGACATTCAACTGAGATGTTTTTAATTGTTTTGAGATATCGCTAAAACAAATATTATTATAAGCATCTAGTGTGTATAATGTATGTTATAAAATATATTTATTATGATCATTATAATATTCATTTAACAGAACATGCACTGTATTGATGCACGCTATAACAACTTTTTTGATAGGTTATTTTCATAGGAAATCTAAGTTTGGCCGTCTAATTATATAATAATCGGCCAATTTAAAAATGACATAAGTCATAAAATCGAAATACAATACTAACCATAAATTAATAAATTAATACGGATGTAACTTACTTTACACTTTCAGTTATTTATAAAATTATTTTTATAATATTTGATTCATAATTCATAGTTTTAAATCGTCTACCTTTAAACATATTTCATTAAATCAATATAACACCTACCTGATTTTTGATGTTTTTGCAAGGAACAGCAACTTAACTAAAAAATCATTTTTGTAAAATCTGTGACTTATGACGTTTTTACAATGGCGAATTCAATTGTACGCCTTAACAATAACATTATTAAACAAATATTGTATTATTTTCTACCATCCCTCCTTGGGCAACTTAAAACCTACCCCCGATCAATAATAACCATATAAAATAATAATATTATTTTATGCAAAAAATGGTTTAATATCCAAGGAAACGAAATTTATAAAAAAAAAATAATGACCGTGTTATTAGGTTTCATTTAGTTTTCTTTTGCAAATATTGTACATACATTTGTATTTTTCCCCACCGCTATAAATACACATTTAAATTAAACAATAATATTGTATTATTTTGTGTCGTACGATTTTTTGTAATTTTGACCGTGTACCGAATAAACATATTATCATAATATTATTATGTTTGTTTACTCCTTTTTTCGGCCACCAACTAAGTAATATATATTTAAAAGCGAAACGGATCGATTGGTTCTGTTCCATAAGACCGTCGGTGGTCGATGGTTGGTTTTGTCCACCGAGAAATGTATTTAAACGAAAAAGTCCTTGGTCGATGACGTGACGTTTTCTATGCTTGTCGGTAAGGTACCGACGAACCGTCATTAATTACAATTGTCTTCGGATTCGGGACTAAAGAGACAAAAACTTAATGCAACAATAATAATTATTCTACACCTAAATGTATCCAGAAGAAGAATTCGGTTTTCCAATACGGTACAATGAACGGCGTTTCTGCGTGAAAACGCTGCTCGGTGAAAATTATTTTATTTCCATTTTAGGTCTTAACCAAGCGTGTTACCCATAAAGGTTTTCAGTAACAACAACAACAACAACAGCAGCATCTTATGTCAGTTATACAGACGTTAACGGCTCACATCCGATATCGAATATATGCCGTCGAGCAGCGCCCATAACATTATTAATATCTTCGTTATGCGTTGTTATTTAAAACAATTATTTCCAATCGAATCTTTCCACTTGAACGGTCTTATCTCGGACGGAAAAAGGTAGAAATTTCGAATCAAATCCTTTTTTTTTCCCGTATAATAGCTTTCGCTTTTCAATTTATATTATGCCAACCAGCCCCGGGTGAACAGTATAACATAAATCTGATATTGGTATGTACTAAAACAATATTAAAAAAATGTCACGTCTCTTTTTCTTTCCGGGACAGAATCACAATAAAAATGTATTATTGAACAACAACAAACGAGACACACTCACCAAGATCTCTGCGACCATGGATTCCGCCCAGCGTGATTTGCACAGGCAAATAATGTTTTGTTATCGGATTAAAAAACGTCTACCGGCAACTTAATCCTACGATACGCTAATCACGACACAGCAGATTTTAACAGTTCTATTAATTATTTGTCCATTTCTTTTGCACCTTTCTGGCACAATAATGTGATTATTTCGATTTTTTAAGAAATGCACAACGAATACCTCTCTCTTGCTAACTGATTATATTGTTATTATATATTTCCATTAACTGTTGATTGGAAACCTATAAGTTATGTTGTGAATGCACGTTTCGATGACCAGATTCGGATAATTATTTTTTAAGATAAAATCATTTTAAAATACGAAGACTGGGCACATTTAAAAAAAAATAGAAATTACTCTTCTTGCTTAATCTTTAAATTGCATCTAAAAATGTTAAAGTATAAATAATCTATTCGTCTATTAAGAAGTTTTTAGATTAAAATAATGAAATAGTATATTACTTTACCAATACTAAAGCAAGCTTCGGATTCAGCTAGAAAAATACTATAAGTTTTATGTGTTTTGATACTTGTTCCATAAAACCGTGTTGTACTTACGCAGTTTTAAGAAATCACTTTTACAATCAATCGACCTTGGTGCGCAGCTTTATTGGACTTTCTTCATTTAAAGTTTATCTATTAAAGTCCAAGATCCAATTTAAAACTGTCATTAATAAATAGATCTCTAAGTTATTAAACTTATGTTACTAAGAAATATCAGCGGTATTTAGGGGTATATCCGTATTTGCGCTAAATCATATCAAAAGTAGTTTTACACGATTTTGATATAATTTACAGCGACAAACATACCACCGTGCTATGAATTAAATTTATAAACAACAAAACGAATGAGTAAAATTATTGTGTATGACAATGTTATTATGTTAATTTCGATCAATATTACAATTAATAATGAGCGAGATCAATTCGGATCGGTTATGTTGGCTGTCCAAAATGGCTCTATCTCGTCTTTTTTACTTTATTGAGTTTAAAAATAAATATTGAAACGGTGTAAGGTTTTTATTAATATCTAATTTAAGAGTAAACGAAACCAATATTTTGTGTGTCCAGTATAGTGCCAAGTACCTCACTAATTATCTAGCGCCGTTCTTTATACTCGTATAGATCAATGTTCTACCCGCATTAGTCTAAGCCGAGATGCAGTTGAAAACTGAAATGCATAGGTATTATACTGCCAGTTAAATTTACCATATTTTGGGACGCAAATAGTGTATACCGGGAAACCGATAGCGCTGAAATGAAAAAAAGGTCGGTATCCCTTCAGGGGCTATCCCTGTCAATATTGTCTTAGTAAGGGAATATTATTTCCTCTTGCAAAACGACCACTCTGACACGGGTATCCAATGACCAACACGGATGGGACCGCAGTAGTGTATATTTTGTCTCCTTTAGATTACACGCTTCACACACCAAATCTTTATCGATTTCAACCACGCCTAAATCTCAAAAGCGACCACATTATTTCCAACATTTTCGACCTCGAGAAAATACATACATTAAAATGAACATCGGTCTTCCTTCTCCCTGATACATCCTTTCTTTGGTGTACTCCGTCATCTGTTTTCTTATCTGATAGACCATAAATCCTGCTACCGTCGAATCCTCTATAAAAAATAAACAATTAATAACGATTCCACAACAATAGAAAGTAACAGAACTCAACCATCAACTTAATCATTCGTATAACACTATTAAGCAAATCTCTTTTGTACGATAAAAGTTCAAATTCCTAAGTGAGAAAACCTACTATAATAATTCATATTTTATACTTACCTATACCTACATATTTTATACATACTTTATACATAGCTACAATCTTGTATAATGCCAAGAATACATTTTACGAGCTAATAAAAATACCTGAACTAAGCTATAAGATAAAAATCGGCGACCTAATTAAAAAATGTTGCAAGTAAATTTTTGGCTAAAATTAGTTTACCGTAAATCTGAAAAAGAATAGAAAAGTTTTTTTTCCAAAAACGTGGTAAATAAAATAGTCTATATTTTATAATGTGAAATTGTTTTTTTTTACTAAGATAATTTTTTAATTCAGCCAACGAAAATGTTCATCACTCTGTATTTATATAGACTCTTAATACATTAATGCCTCTTTTTTAATGATAATTTTATTAGTATGCTGGTAAAAATCTTAAGCTTGCAGATATCTTATGTATATACCGAACGAACTGCTTGTTAATATGATTTAGTTTGTCTATTTACAGAATTCATTAATTGAATAATAATATTTGGAGAAAAAAAATTCTCAAAATTTTACATTATAAATAATTGTTTTCCAAATGATACCTGCTAAGACCTTGGGCGAGTTTTACCTTGATGATAAAAAATATTTTCCGCCATTACCGGCCCGATGGGTATAGTATAGTACAGACGAAATTATACCTATTGTTTTGCTGGCATTGTTCCCGTGTGCAGAGGACAGTATTGAAAAGAGATGGGATAACATCACGAAGCTTTCATTTTTTTGTTTTAATACCATTTTGTACATGTATCTGATTATGTATGTGTTTTTATATTATTGCAGAGCAGACATGTTTGCGGCATTACTGTATTTATTGGCGTTCGCCACGACGACCTTTAGCCAAACCCAAGCCAACGGGTAAGTTTTTTTAAATACATTTAATGTTTTATATATCTAGTCTACCAGACTTATGCACTTACTTTCTTTCGCCATTTTCTATTCTCTCTATTTTTATACATACTCAAATTTCCTCATATTTTTCTTTAAACTCATGTTGATTATTTTATTTATAAACTATAATAAAAAATCAACTATTTGGTTTTAATTTTGTAAAATAAATGTAAAAATAAAGAGGCTATTTTATTTTAAAACATAAATTATAGAATCAGGGTCGGACTGACCAATCGATTGCACAAGTAGGACCTTTTATATTATTGAACTTTATAAATTAACCAGTAAAATATTATACCAAGGGTGAGAATAATTTTAATTATACTATTGTTTGTAATTAATGTTTGTTTGCTTTTTTGTAACACCTTACAAAAAAGCACTATTTAGTTAAATAACACCGCATCCTTTTTGAGTCAGCTGATGCTAACTAATAAAATAAATCTATATAATTTACTATGTTTTCACGATAAGATTTAATGTAGAATGGGAACTATAATAAAGTATAATATTATTATATAACACGATGATGGTAATTATTATTTGTTACATTTATTTATTAAAACCCCTGTACCTACATTATTTCTTTCAAGGGATGCATATCGATCGGCTTGTATGGCTTGATCGAGTAATCCCACCGTCGAGATAATATCAGGATTTGGGTTCAGCCATTTTACATTTGATAACATTAAAAAAAAAAAGACTAACTATTCATCCGTTACTTCGTAATACTACTTAATTATTCATCCGGACAATACACAGTATTGTACCAGAGAAAACAGTTGTCTGTCAGAAAGGAATACCACAAGGTCAGAAGTATTGCCTGCTTTTTTTTCTTTCGGATATTACTATACAAAAATACTCATACACGCCAGCCGTGTTCGAATTCCCCATTACAACACCGATGACTGTACAACAGCTCTGTGGGTAAAAAAAAACGACCGTCTTGAGCCGAGACACTAATCGTTTGTTTGTCGCGTTTATGTCGTTTTAATTAGCCAAAAATAATTGTAGGTGAGTTCTTGAAGAAGACTCACGTTATGGACGTTTACCGTTTAAAAAAGGTATTGTTTCACTGGGACCCGTCTTAGTCGTTAAAATAAAACAAATTTACATTCCAAAAATCAATAGCTTTAATATAACATTATTATGATTATTATATTATAACAAAAGAACGGCCAAGAACCGTAGGGAGGATATAAGAAAACCGGTAAAATAAACCACCGAAAAACGATTTTTATTAAATTTTAGCAGTATTGTTCGGACGACCCGACCGCGACCAATCGTGCTAAGTAATTCGATAATGACTCAATTTCAACCCAACGGCTCACACCAGCAGTTATTTCTGGCGGCAAATGGAGCTCGACCGATTTTTTAAATTGTCCGTAAAATTGATTCGTTTATCAAAAAATACACAATGGCACAAACGGAGAGGAAACATTTTATTCAGCACCGCAAAACAATAATACACTACAGCTCACCAACGTTATATTTGACCAATTCAGTTTTCCCTGTGGTTATTATTTTACACTATAGTCCACGGGAAACAAAACTTTATATTATTACGCCGTTGCTATTGGTTTTGAGGTCAATTTCAATTGGCCTGTGTGACCGAATAGGCACAAAAAAAAACAACACAACCTAAAAAATAAAACAAAAAATCCTTTGAATAAATTGAACAGTGAGGCAACCGTTTTAGTAAGTTAGATCGTGTTAAACTTGAATTTTTGTAGAGGACTTATTATTTCTCATTTATAAATACAACATTATCGTACAAATTCATTAGATATCTGAAAAATAATAATTAAAAAATAAATATATTGAAAACGTGTGTAATTAAACATTCAATTTATTTTGAAACCAGTTATAGAAAAAGGCAAATTTATAAAAAAAAACTAATGTTTGTATTTTAACTTATAATAGCTATAATAAAATTGACCAATGCCTTTTTTCATTAAAACCATCCAATTGCATTTTTGATTCTTTAAAATAATTTTAATAAATTTCAATAAATTGTGGCAAAATCAAATCATATCTTACAAATAATATAAATTATTATTTTTACTTATTCGGTAGGACTATTAAGTTTCATAATGATGATGATGATGATGACTTGTGCAGTAGTGGAGTTAAATCATTTATGTAATTCAGAAACTGAATGCGGTTTTTAAATTAAAACCAATTGTATACTCTTATTTTTGCTAAAATAAACTTGTACTTAATTTTTTGAAAAAAATAATTTTTTCATTTCATCTCTCTGCTAAGCTTTTGTCGCCCGTCCAAAACTGTAGCGGCTATTGTCGGGTAGAACACAATTGGGTTAGGCAGGCGAGCTCGCTTTAAATGAAATTTATGGCATTATACTTTTTTGTTTAGGTTTTGTATAAAAAATAATATTCTGTTTCCATTATATATTATTCCGGGGAAGGTCTAGTAAAGCGGTAATTTCGATACTAGATCAAACGCAGTAATAGGTTGTTTCGCATACAGTTTTTTTTTTTTTAACTATTTTGTTATGTTATGTTATTTTTTTGTGTGTGTATGTACAAACGTTGTGCCAAAGTTTCTGGGCTTTGAACGTTCTGGAAACTTTCATCGCGCAATTGCCACCGTCGAGTTCCGGCTGTGACGTGACCTACTTGTCCTATTGTCGCGCCCTATACGGTTCGAGGCTGACTTTCCATAGTATCCGTCTGTGTGTCTGTGTCTGAATGTGCGCATGTAACAGTTCTATATTACCCGGACGCACATAATATGACATTGGTCGACCTCCGGGTCTGAAAATTTGTTTTAATAATAATATGTTTTCGGGGCAAAGGTCTCACGATGAGTCCCGGACGGTCGACCGTAAAGCAGAAAACAAACAAACACGCAAAAAAAATGTTGCTCATTGCAAAAAACAACAAAAAGAGACGTCGGAAAATAAGTCTAAATGAATTCACGACCCTCTCCTCTCTCTCTTCTACTCTGAGAGGACGGGCAGGCGCCCACAAAAAAACACAAACAAAACATTGTAGCTACTTTCGCCAATAATCCTATTCAACTCACGTGCCCTAAAAAAATACCCACCCACATGACATCAAATCAAGTTAAGACAAGGGCCATAATCAGGAAAAATCACTGCAAGAGACGTGCCACCCCACACCTCCTTACCCCTTACTCGAACTATATTTATTGGAGAGAGTATATAATTTTTACGGTTAAGGGTTTTTATTATTATTTTATTATATGTATTAATTCAATATAAGCATGAACACTGAAAAAACGAGGTGAAATTATTATAAAGAAATATTATACTTTCAATCTTTAGAAAAATAAATTCAAAATTATATTCAGTGCTTGGGGCGGTTTCTGTTATTGAATCTTAATCAAGTACATACTTCGTGTTTGATTCCAATTATATTTGCCCCAGTAGTGTTTAAATGATAATTTGTAATTTGCATACTATACCGTAGGACGTGTTTCTGGACGTCTAGTTTATCACAATAGAGGATTATAATATAATGATTAAACTTGAGACAGATCCATCCGGAGCAGTATTGTATATTAAACCCCATTATAGTATTTGTTTCAGACATGTCATTACTCTGAACTATCAAGACAGATTCTTTGATCATTTTTATTTTTAATTAAATAATTTAATGTAGGTAGGTACATTTTAAGTATAAACTATTTGTTTTTGAGACGTTTTATCTTGAACATTTCTTAAACTAGTTAATTGCTTAATTGAATAAAATCGATTGAATTAGAAGCATAAGTAAAGATAAACCCAAGCATAAATGAGTGGATGTTTTAAATAAGGATATGGATATGATGTTATCATCGTATCGTATAAGGCAACAATTAAGGAAAAACTACATAACTATACTGATGCAATTCACAATTAATAATTGTTACAAATAAAAGAGACAAAAAAGTATACAATGTGAGATTTATATTTATATTATTTGTTCAGTGTTCAAAAATTACACAACATCTGGCATTCAATCTATAGATGCTTGATGACTGTTCTTACTATAACTTAAGTTTATTTTATTTAATTTTTCTAAATGACTCCGATATTAGCCACTTATTTAAAATACTTCTGAAAAATTCTAATTTATTGAAATCAACTTTTGTCTATGGTATTGTCTATTGTTTGTATTAAGTGTTCTTTTTTGAAATTTTTTTTTTAAGAAAACACAATTCAAATACGGTTTTTTGACTATATTTTAGCAAACCCACTCCGCACAATGTGGCCGCATTCGGTTATTTTAGTAGGAAAAGTAGAACAAAAGCGATTCGCGTGAAATATAGGCTATGTCGTGCGACGGTATAACGTTAAAGTGTCATTTATTGTATTATTATCTATTTTTTTTTTTTTACATGGCTATATCGTTGTATTTTTTTATTCAATAAATTACAATTTGGCTGGTCCCACGCCTATTATACTTTTACTGGGCGGTCAGCTCTCCGGAACCGCGGTTTTGTATTAAAGTGGGATGCATATAGTTATGGTCGGGCCATATTTTGCATTTTCAGATTTCCCTTTTGAACCGACACTTCGCTCGAAACCCAAAGAAACCACCGCCGTCGACTATAATATACCTAGATTACATATATATATATATGACAATTAGTATCTAAAACCTACGGCCGGCATTATTACTCTGTACATGTATAACGTAATGAACGTACTACAGATGCTTATATTTATATAAAAAGCGAGATTCGGCCGGAATATGTGTATCTGATGCGGTATATTTTCTCTTTGTCGGCTCTTTGTGGCGAACAAAACGACCACCGAAAACAATTAATGATTTATGAATGAGAGATATACATATCATATTATATAATGCTCTACCAACGCAACCGTCAGTCGCACGCTGTTGTTTCAACACACACAATAGATAGCTTTTTTTCATCAGTCATAAGTTGCTGAAATGAACTTTTATAAAAAGGGGTCCTGACAGATTAACTAATATTCCTCA